CCCAGTATTTGTCACAGGTGCTGTCACTGGTGCAGATGTAGGGGACTCAGTTCTGGAGCTCAACCCTGTCTGACCACCTGGAGCCCACACTGATGAAGGCCATATTGCTTGCATATTGGAAGCTTGAGACAAACCTGAGCTTGTCGCTTGATTTGAAGCATCAGCCGATGCTTGCCGAGCTCCCACCGAGAGCATTGCAGTAGCTGCTCGTGTGTTGTGTTGTCTCACCGAAGCACTTGGCCTGTCTCTATTGAAGGGCTCCGCAGTCTCAGGAGTCGGCGCATTGCTCTGACCTGAAACAACAACTTTTTGCAAAAAGTTAAAAAGATCAGCCATAGTGGGTGATTTAACACAGGGGCAGCTGCACCCTGTTGTCCCACACCAGGAACTTTCCTCAAAAGCTCCATTACAGCAGCTACGGTTGGATGCCCAACCTCCATAGCAGATGTACCTGGGGAAATATGTGCCATGTCCGTTATTGAAGGTGAATGCTCCATAGCCTGCTGTACTGTACTCTGCTGTACAATTAATGATTGGTCTACTGTTGGAGAAGTAATGATTTGAGACCCTAATGTCTCCTTGTGCAGATGTTGTTGAGCTAACTGCTCACACACTGATGCACATGCTTGCATTGTACGCCCTAACTGAGCTAAATGTGCTTGAATGTCCACTTCCTTTTTTTGATTGATATTAGTCCACTTAGGTGCTGACTGACCAATGATGGGGCCAGCCGAGGCCGCATGTCGTTTGGACTGGGCCTTACTTCATGGCATGTTAACCGAAATTATGAAAATGCCACTTATGCTATATAATACAGGATATAGTGTCTTATTAAGGCTATACCTGTGACACAATTTTTTTTAATAAGACTTAAGGTCAATTAAGAACTAACAACCTAAATAACCACCTTCCAATACTATATATCTATGGTTTTAATGTGTTGTTAATGAACAATTTACTATTATAATTATTGATATTATTATTAATATATATATATATATATATATATATATATATATGTCCTTTGCCAGCTGAATTAATTCCCAAAATTGCAATCACCTAATGGCACATGCCCCAATCAATATTGCCTCCTGACATACAGGTTAGCCA